ACTCCTTCAAAGACAGAAGTCCATGTTCATTCATTAATTGAAAATGAAGATTTATTTTTTCAGTTTAGATATGGCATTGTGAGTAGGTTTAAAATACGTACTTAATGTATAAAATACGATTTTATATTTTCATTTTGATGCATAATTTATGTAGAAGAATTCCAGAGGCAATTTAACCTATGCTTGAAAATGGCCACTCCTAATAGTCTGAGTCCTTTGTTGGATGGACTTTTTCAGTTGTCTGAGAAAGCTCTAATAGCTTTAAAAACTTTACATTAAAGATAAGTTTGGAAATTGAATATATTATTGCTTGATCTGCATATTGGTTGTATATAAAAATGTTATTTATTACCTTCGTTTAGCCAGTGTGAAAATATATTTAAAGTAGAGTATGACAAGAGGCAGTTTTGTAAACTCTTCCATGTCATGTTCATGGCTATATAACATTCTGTGACAGTTCAGAATGAAACCCATAGTGATTTGTGCAGCCAGCTGCAACAAATAAACATGTTTTACTGCTTACTATCATATTATGTGTACAGCACAGCAGACTGTCATCAGAGAAGCTTGGATGAAACCATTTGGGTGAATGATATAACTGCTAATGTGGTGAGAATTATCTTGGTAGTTTTATTTCTGATAAACTTGTGTCCTTTCATCTGATTCTTGATACAGATCTCTAACTGTATTTTGCATCTGAATTATTTACAAAACAGTGGCTGAAGTAGGGGCTGCACTTTTTTTAAGGCCACCTTTTTCCATCTTCTGACTTAAACCACAAAAACCTTACCCTTGCCCATGACTCCTTGAAAATCTCATGGCATTGAGTTGCAGCAATGTGCCTTCTGTTATTTGCTGGTAGGTTCGGATGCACACCAAGGTTTTTGGGGAGGTTGTTACTGTTTCTGCATACTGAGCACATGGGCTGAGTTGTATGGCTGGTGTTAGTGGAGTTCCTGTTCTGCTGACTGAAGATCTGCCTCTGCCATAGGTGGTGTGAAGTGGTGTATGCCTGGAGCCTCCTTGATGTCAGCTGGCACTTCAGGATGCTTAGCACTTATACAGTGCAGCACATATGCATATTGAGTCATAAGTGGGAGGTTGTGGAGGCCAGGCACATGTTGTGTTCTTGTGATTCCCCTGTGGCTTTAGAGCAGGAGAGCAAGTCATTTGATGGGTGCTTGTGCTTGATAATCTTTTGTCGCTAAACTAAACATCAGTCATGATGCAGGGCTATCTGGTGTTGCAAATGCATCTTTAATCCTGCAGGGTGTTTCTGCCCAGAGGCTTACTTCTGCTGATTGGAAGGGATGTGACTTTTTTCCCCAGCACTTCCGCTTTGCTAGCAAAGAGCTACCAAGCGCTTGCCAGATTATGTGCTGTAAAATGTACCTTTTGTCATCAACCTCTTGCAGAATTACTTTTTCGAGTTATCAAGGTTTGCTCTTCCGTGGGCCCCTTCATTCAAGAGGAGCTTCTTGAGTATTTGCCTATTCTTTGAGTCATGTCTTTATGCTGCCCTGCTTTGATAAGTGTTACTGACTTTCTTGCTCATGAATCCAGTGTGTCACAGCACTCTGGCTTTCAGGTCACTTGGAGTAATAATTCATTTTGGACTTTCTTCAAAATAAGATGTCAGAGGTGCTTCCCAAGGAATCTGTTTGGCAAGATGATGTTGCTCAGATAATCTGTGTCTAACATCTGTGCAGCAGTGAAGTAAGGCATTGTGCGTGTATGTTTTCAGAGTAATGCTGAGCTAGCTCTTGTGTTGATACTATATGTGCATTGTGAGTGTAGCAGAAGTCAGTAACACCTGAAGGAGTTAATGATGGTGAGAGCGTTCAGGGCACAGGATAGGTGAGCAGGTGAGCTGTAACATGGTTATCACTGGGGCTATTGGGGAATTTTCTTGCATGTAATTTATGTCCAGCAAGATACAGTAGTAATTGGCTGTTAGCTATTTACATTGAAGGAAAACAGCCAGGGGACCTAAATGTCTAAAATCTTTTTGAATAGAGGGACCTTTCATAGAGAGCTTGTTCTTACAGACTGAAAGAGTGTTCATGTTGTTGCGTTATTGGTGAAGGTTATGTTTCCTAGGTGAAAGGTAGCAGTCTTCCAGTTGCTGTTTGTGGTAAGTGGGAGTCATGTTCCATGATATGGTCATTAAGCGTTTCTTTAGAAGTCATGTGGCCGTGTGTTGGCCACAGCTTGAAGATGTATCTGCCTATACTTTCCGCTTACTGATTTTATGTGGGCAAAATTATGTGCCGAGGGAGAGAAAACTCAAGCAGGAAAACAGTCCTTCTCCTTCATGATTTCTGCCCATGGCAGTGGGGCTGGAACTAGATCTTTAAGTTCCCTTCCAACCCTAACCAGTCTATGATTCTGTGATTTGCATTTGTAGGCAAGTCCTTATAGCAAACTGAGTGATCTCTGAGCGGCAGGACTGTTAATTTCTTGTAATCTCTACAAAGTCCTTTCTGTCCCCTCCGCCTTTTAGTTTGTTACTCTGTGATTTCCCTGTTGTTTCTGAATCACCTGCAGGCTCTAGAATCCTTGTGGTAACCCTTTTGCCTACCAAATTTTACTTCTGTTGAAGAAGCAAACTCTTGCCTTCTTCCAAGTTTTTGCTGTGTGGGACTGTATTGCTGCATATTGAAGGCTGAAAGAAAGTGTGCATCCTGCAAGTTCCTAACAGCTGACTAGGCAGCCCTTCAGTCTGGTATGGGAGGAAGAATATTATTTAGCAAGAGAACATTTTTCTGATACAGTTTTTGTAGCTGGGCCATCTGGGTCTTGTTAAGAGTTGCTGGGGAGTGTGGTTTTGATGGACTTTTCATTCCTGAGCACCACTGCTGCAAAGCAAAGTAACCAAATTTATCTTTAGTATTTTATTCTAAACAGAGTGGAAGTGCAAGCTAACGTTTTCTGTGTATCAGCAGGCCTTGCAGGGAGATGTGGAGGGTAAAAAATGTGTTCTGTTGCTTTTTGACCATAAGAAGGCAGTCTGTCTGCTTGTAGTCTTCGTACCTGTACTTGTGTTAGAAATGTGGTTTTTATTGCTTGCATGTTATATTTGCCTGATGCTTTCTTCCAAGGAGGTGGCCATCGTTGAGGGGTTTATCTAGGAGATTCTAGTCACATACTTTTCCTTGCTCCTGCAGTTTCCTGCAAATAATACAACAGAAAAAGCTCTACTCCTATTGTTCCACCAGCTAAAATAGATCCCACAGAACATAAAGATATCTGTACATGGTAGGCTTAATAGCATGCACTAGCTTTCAGGACTATGCTTGCAGCATGCCAAGCACCTAGGGCTCTTGCTGGCACCACCCAGAGCCAATGCAATGCCTGTACTTCGTGTGTTGGCGTTGAAGAGCAGGAGGAAGCCATGGAGTATCCAGTGGGACTTCCCATGAAATTTTAAAGGCAGAAGTAGCCTGCTGTGGACCTGCTGCAGACAGGGGAGCCAGTAAGGACACACAGTGATTTTTCTTACATGTTAGGTTTGAACCAGTTAACTTGTTCTTCATAAAAGCTTTGGGGAAACATGAGAGCATGTGGGACGCTAGCTGTTGAAGGCAACAGGGGAGATTAGCACTTCTCACTGATGTAAGAAGCTGTTAGTGCAATGCTGAGGTTTCCTGGCATAAGCCTGTACAGTGCATGAAAACAGTAGTATTCAGGAGAGCCAGCAGTATTCAGCGAGACCAGCTTAAGTCTCCCTCCCTCAGTTAGACAGTGGTGCTGCTGAAGGCCTGAATCTGCCAGATTCAGCACTTGAGTTGTGGTTCAGGCTTAGGTGCCCATGTGAGACTGATATTCCTAAATTCTCCTTTGGGTGTAATAAACCAGCTGAAATAATTTGAGAGCTAACAAGCAGCATTAGTAACCTTAACTTTACTCCATTTTGTAGAAAAGCTTAGTGGTTCCCTCTTGTCCTTCGAGTTTGTAGCTGCATCTTTCACCCTTTGTCTGGGGAGCTGTGCTCCAGCTGTCCTGTGTGTGCAGGAGGAGACATGGTCCTTCTGTGGCCAGAGAGCATGCACAAAGTGGGATGACTGTTGCTGTTCCATGGGCCCTTCTCTAGGAGGAAGGGCAAACTGGCTCACCTACCCCAGTGCAAAATACATGGACAAGTGCTGAGTGCTGTGAAGAATGCTTTGTCCTCTAGCAGTGCCTCTGGTACAGCAGCAGAAGAGCTGATGCTGTCATGGTGTGGTAGGTATGTTGTGACCATGTTGTTTGGGTTTGGCTTCTCATGAAAATCAGAGACCAGAGCACTGGTAGATCCCAGGTATGCTGGAGTACATGGTGGCATTGGGTGACAGAAATTCAGGTCTGTTGAGGTGGTGGCAGGTTAGGTACTAAGCCACTCTGATGGTCTGGGGTTTGTAATTGAAGTGCAGTGAGTTTTATTTTCATCTTGTGGTTCAGGAAACTGTAGCATAGTGTTCATGGCGTGACTGTGTCTAAATGAGCAAAAATAATTATGTTCTTCTGAATTTAACTCCAAGATAAATCTCCTCATCTCCTCTTGTATGTGTCAGTGTATCAGTAGTGTTGTATCCTCTGTGGGGTTTCTGCTTATTCTTCACTGGCTGTGTACCTCAGCATGCCGTCATAGTTTTGTACAGACTGGTGGGTGTCACTGTGAGTCCTGAAAGAGTCACTGATTTTAGCAAAACCATCTCTGTTGTTTTTGTGGTAAACTGTGCAGTGGTGGGACTTGAGCCAGTAGTAGCATCGCTAGATGGAAGAGAAGTTATTCCAGGCATTATTGACGCATGCTGAAGAGAAGATTATTGTCACTGTCTCCCTAAATACTTGGGCAAAACCCAACTCTAAGCATATAGAAGTACAGTTTTGGGAACAGTATGTGGTTTGGATAAATGAAAGCATGAAAGATATTACTGATAATTGATCTTCTACATAGTTATGAATGATCTTGCAATTTTTTTTTTTAATGCATGATAAATAACTTCTTTTCTTTTTAGCTGATGTCCATCAGCGTATTAGGTATTTCTGCTTGGATGAGAGACTACCTGAATAATGTTCTCACTTTAACTGCAGAAACAAGGTAAAGCTTTCCTTAAACCTGTTAACCTCTGTGGGTGATTGATTGCAGTATATGTTGTTCATTCTGTATGGGAAGTTTCCTAATTAGGATTTCTAGAATTAAGAAACCTTCAGTTGAGCTAATTATTGTTTTTTTAAAAGGTGTATTTTTGCCAGCATTTCTGGTATCAGTTGAACTTAGAGAAGCAGGAAAGATAGGAATTCAATCTTGTTTTATTCCTATGCCTTTCTCTTCTGACAGGGATCGGTTTTTTGGCCCTTTGCCCAGATGTAACTATTATATTACTGTTTAGTTTTAAATACTTTATTCACTTCAGAGATTTAGGAATCCTGTTAGTTTTGTTACAGTAGTGCTTATGAGCCCTAGTGATGGAACAGGGCCTCATTGTACCATGTACTGTGCAAGCGCAGGATAGGAAGATCGACTTCTCTCCAAAGAGATTTCAGATGATGCATTACTTTCTGGTACCTGAATGTAGCATTTGACTTTAAAACCATGTAGAATAGATTTCTCTGAAATGTGCAAGGTGCTGGAAAGATCTCATCTGCTAATCCACTGTTTTCATTTTGATGGCTGTATTATATATATATTACATATTACTTTTGTGTTATGATGCTTTTTTGATTATGATTCTGATTGGCTTTAGGGTGGAGGAGGCTGTCATTTTAACTTACTTTCCTGTGGTCCACCCGGTCATGATTGCAGTCTGCTGTTTCCTCATCATGGTTGGAATGCTGGGCTACTGTGGAACAGTGAAAAGTAATCTGTTGCTCCTTGTCTGGGTATGTTTCATAACTTCTAGAAACAGCTAACTTCTGCTTTGCTTCAGGAGTGTAAGAAGAGTTTTAATCCACAGGCACTAGACAAATACTGCTTATTTTTTATTACCATGTTGAGTTATGGTATCAGTAAGGAATTGTAATTGCAAAGCACACAGTAGGAAAGAATTTATTGCCTAGACTGCATTATACTGTGACTGAAAGACAAGCAGTGTGTCATTTGCAAAAATCCATTTAGTAGAGGAGTTGCTGAGGGGAAATATAACTCAAACTCTTAAGTACTAATAATTATAGGAACGTGAGTCTTAGTGCTTTGAAATAAACCTAATGCTACCCTTTTGGCTGTGTGATAGCTAAATAACCTAGACTTTGCTTTATCCACACAGTTGATTGCATGTGTGTAGTAACAGCATTTGTAGCTGATGAAAGTTATTTCTGAGTGTATTCCAAAGCTTTGCCTTCTCTTATGTGGATGTGGAATTTTCCAGTTTCTTTTGGTTGTGGGCAAGTTTAGAAATAAATTCCTAGTACCCAGCTTTTTCCTTTGTTTGGAAGCTACATAATTGAGCCAACAGCAGCTGAAAAGCAATAGTCTTTCCTGCACAAGGCTCTATGTACAGTTTAACTATGACCAGACTTCAGCTGCCAAGGAAACCAAATGCCTTTTTCTTCATCAAGTCAGTGATTTTTAGAGCAGTAAAACAAACAAACAAAAACTCCAACATCAAAACCAAAAACCCTATCAAACTTGCACTAATTTTAAAGGTTTAGAGTTTCAAAATATTTAGACTGCCCAAGATCAAGGAGTGCCATATACCGGTGTGCTTCTTAAAAGTCTAGATGGTAGTCCTTGCAGGGTTGGGCTTTGTCTTTTAACATGAGGATAAGCAGGATTTCAAGCAGTCTTAAGCCTGAGAGAGTGGGAGCAATGGATGCAAAAGAGGTGTGTAAGACTTGATAACTGTGATTACAGGAAAAGCTGAACAGGCAAAATCCTGCCTGAGATTTATGGATTTATGCAACCTTTGCTCTTATCTAAAAAGAAATATTTTAACTGCAGCTAAAACAATTTGGAAGCTGTCCTGGCTTTTGTATTAAAATGTCTTTTCATTCGAGAGGATGGGAGTAAGCTTTATTTGAGATTTCCAGCTGAAATTCTGCAACAGAAGTGTTCCTCAACTGCAAGAGGATAATGGCTGTAAAGCCCATATGCAGTGTGAGGATTGTTGTTTCAAAGCTATATAGTTAGGAAAACCTCTAATTTAAATCTGAATATTTTATAGTAATAGCCACTCATTTTCTGTTTCTAGATCTTAAACTTGCAATGTTAAAATCCATGGGAACAAGTTCTAAGACAGATGCTACTATGAGCCCTTGCATAAAAATAATGGGTTAATGTAAATTCATGCTCTATTTAGCAGTGTTTCTTGCATACATTAAAAAGGGCTTTGTACATACTTATTTTGTATAAATAGTAAAACTTACCCTTATCTCACAACCTTATAAAAAAAGAAATTTATTTTACAAAGCGTTTTTTATTTTGTAGTGGTGATAGTTTTTATTGTGAGTTAGTTAAAAGGTAAAAGCAACTATATGATATAGACCAGTGCTACATAGTACCTGGGAAAAAAAGTTATGGCTTTTGGTATAAGCCTTGAAAAAGAAGTTGTAACTAATTAAAAAGAAAATGAAGTTAAAACTGGTTTTGGCCGTCAGTTTATTTAAACTGCCAGTGAAAAGAAGAAACAATTTATAGCTTTTCGTGCCATCTGGAAATAAAGTGTTTTTAGGCAGTCAAATGATACTAAAACAAAGCAAGACATATACGTAGTTTTGTGTGGTAATATTTCATTTTCGGGAGCTTGAGAATTTATTCTTTCTAAGCAGACTGATAAGCAAATCTAAATGGTATCTTCCTAAGTATGTCATTGTCTTTGATTAACTGTTAAAGAAATACAATCGTGTTATACCACAGAAGTATGCAGACGTAAGTCAATGCTTCATTCATCAGACTAATCAGAAAAGTGATGGATCAACAAAATGAGCTTTTGTGCATCTAAAAGAAAAGATCCTTCATGTAAAACATGAGCAACCTCTTCAGTCATGTTTTTAATCTTCTTTCAGAAGAGCATGAACAGCCATCATGATTGCATGCAGATATATTTGACACAAATCTTGACATCCTGGCAGCATGCTAATTGCTAGTGCTAATGTTAATTGAATTGGATTTTTGGAAAATCTAATAAAGCATAAGGACCATAAAATATATAGATATTATGTTGCTAGATATTTTAGTACATCTGAATATATAATTATTTTCATTTGTTTTTCAAATTTTATCTTGCAATTAGATGCTTGAAACCTTCCCAGATTCACACAGGGCATAAATATAAACTGAACTAATATTTACTCAGTTTAATAGTAAGAAAATATAACAACCTCAGTCTTCTGCATGCTGTGGATTATTTGTAGAACCAGCATTTTAAAACTTATCATTTAATTTTAACTGCTTCACAAATACTAAGTTCTGAAAGGCTGGTTGATATAAAAAGCCCATGTATGCCTGAAGTGTCTGTAATATAATTTTGTTGTATGTCATAAGTGATGAGTGTCCTCATGTAGAAGTGGCTGTGATGCCAGCCTAAACTGGAAGATCTGGACTTTTCCTAGCCACCGACTTGAATGTAGAAGTCCAAGGATGAGAAGCTAGAGTCCAGGTTTTATGGTGCTTGTTACAGTTTTTCAAACAAGATTCTTCAAACTTACTTATATTTTCTTTAAGTCCAGAACCATCCTTTTCTTCTTCTGAGGCTCTGTCCATTTTGGATTGGTTTTAAAGTCTGTTGTTCCCATAGCCTAGCTAAAAACCAAACAGAACACAGCACCCACACCCTCCCCACATATATTCTTTAAGAACAGTAACCTTAAGTGTGCCTGATTTTTCTTAAGTTTTTGTTTGATGAAGAACAGCAAGTGTAAACTCTGTTGCTTGACAAGAAGAACTTCATGAAAATACCACTGGAAAATATTTTCCTGGCTGGAGCTTTCATTGCAAATTTTGGCATTTTTAACTACGAGTTTTCTGTAATTACAGTATTTAAACAGTGCAGGATTCAAATTTGTCTGCATATGTTTTCACAAAGGGCAAAACTGTTAGAAATATTTGATGGTCAATAGGGCAAATCCTATTACTGATATTTATGATTAAGTTGGCAAAGAAATAACTATTCCTCAGAGCTAAATGTTGTTAGATCCTATTTATGTGTGGTCAATTACTTATTAACTCACTTTTGCCAAAACTTGGTTATCAGTTGGAACTTGCCAGACTAAATTGTCTGTTAATTGAGTTGAAACACAACCAGACAAACCCATCATTAAACTAAACTGATCTCTTCTTTAAAAGCAGACAAATCATAATAAGAAAGAAATTATACTATGTTTTGTTTGAAAAGGTTAACTGAAGATGTGACAAATCTAGCTTGAATGTAGCTGTTTCATGTCAGCAGTTCTCAGCCAGCTAAATGCAGTGTCGGTGAATGTAGTTTCTATGAAGTTCACCTGACAATGGCTATGTTATTTGTCCTATAATAATAAAAAGTATTTATTCTAATCCATGTGGACTCTTACCACAGTCACAGCTGCTCCAATACCTTGTACTAGCATTTGGCACTGGAATTGTTATTTAACAACCAGACATATTTCTTCATTATTTTAACAACTGAACATTGAAAGGGAAAAAATAACTGACAAGCATGCTTGGTGTAATCCCATGCAGTTTAGAATTAAACAGGATAGAGACTGAGTTCATTTTCATGTTTTGTGCCTTTTTTTCAGCAGTTAATTTACAACTATAATGTGAGCAGAAGGAAAATGGGGATTCACAAGTCAGATTGGCCAGCCTTGTGGAAGGGCTGGTTTAAGTGGGTTTATAGTACTGTAGTACATGTTTGATGAGAAGCCAGTACTGCACAAAAATTCAAATTCAGATAGTCAGTGGGTAAATAAGGAGCTGGACGTGTAGTTTGCATTTTGAAGTGCTGCTTATTTCACATTCCAATTGTAAGAGAAAATATTTGTATTATACTCCAGTAGTTTCAGATATGAGCAACTTTCTCAAGAAAATAAATATAGAGTTGTTTTTTTTTTCCCTTCTTTCTGTATTTCTAACTTTCAGTTCAAAGAGAAACTGTTTGAGGAGATGTCTGATGATGACTAGTACAGGCATCTTTTTTTGTTTGCCTTGAAATGGGATAGATGGTAAGCTGCTTTCCTGTTCAAATTGGGAGTTTCTGAGGTTCAGAGAAATTGTTAAATTTTGAGATTGGTGACACTGTGGCAGCTCCAACACCATAGAGTGAAGCTGGGCTTTGCAGGAGTGGGTGTGCTCTGCAGGGCTGCCAGAGTGGTGAACTGTAGTGGGTCTGAAGTCCAGTGACAACTCCTCAGCCTAAGTGTGAGGTGTGTTTTTTTTGACCCTGTCTTCTTCATCATAAATGTGCAGCACTGTGCATGTACTTTGAAAGTACAAGTGCTTTGAAACGGTGCCCAATTTTCTTAACTAGGAGAGGGAGCTCACAGATGAGAGAGAGTTGGCTGGCACTGTGGTTTTTTGGGAGGCATTTAGAGATGAAGGGTGCTGCCTGTTGAACAGACAGCAAGAGCAGCTGTATATTTGAGCAGCATGGAGGGAAGAGTATTGGGGTGGAGCAGTATGACAGGAATTGAGCTGTTGGGAGTGTCCAGGTCTTCTTGCAAATGTTTGGCTAAAATCCAAATATTTGCTGTGCTCACAGTGATGATCTGCTTCCTTCACCCTAGCATTTAACAGCTGCCTTGAGCGTACAGCCGTGTTGTAGCAGAGCAGAGGCAGCATGGTACTGTTTGGTGCAGTTACCCAGTGGCTCAAAGTAACAAAAACTGTCTAGCCCCTTGAGAGCTATGTAGGAGAATGCTTTTGATTTACTGTCTTGGTTTCAACTGGGATAGAGTTAAATTTTCTTTCC